GTTTTCTTTTTTGGAACACCACAGGTAAAAAAAAAAAATTAAAGTTTAGAGGAGCTAATCAGAATTTGGCCAATCCTCCAGAAATCTCCAATTCCAAAGAGAACATACTCTAAATTTCAAATTATAAGCCATTCTTATTTTAAAAATCTGATGTAAGAAGTAAAATTCTCTGTTATGTTTTAAATAGTCTCACCCTTATCATTGTAATTAAGGATTTCATTCAAAATAGAATGCCACCTAATATTATACAAGAATAGGATGAGTCTTAGTGATTATATCAGGAAAGTGAAATAAAAGTTGAATTCATTGCAATACTTTGATCATTCTTCATAGCAAGCTAAACAGTTTAAGCAAAAACATGATTTACTAACTTTAAGCTATTTTTCTCAAATGGTCCTGGTAACTTGCATATTTTGATGAATGTTTTGTGGACTCAGACCACAGAGCTCTCATACGCGTGTGTTCAGAAAGGAGGCATGAGCTGCAGTTATGTAACATGCTGATGCATGTGGTCATCTGGCTGTTTTCAGTGAGCAGTTAATCATTCCAACGGCCTCTTAGCTCAGCGAGTTTTTCACAAAGCAATGAGTGCTTTATTCCTTGAAAAATATTTCTAAATGACTTAGTACAATATAGTTACATGGTGTATCTATTATATCAGGAGTACATTTTGTTGTTACAAGACTGAAAAGCATGAAGACTGTTGTGAAGTTGAATTATTTCCCCCAGATGTTTGATTGCCTAAGTACAGGCTACATTAAGGAGCAGAAGCAAAACAACCTTTGTGGTCTCACAGGCGTCCTATCGGAGTGCAGACTCTTATAAATCCAATTTGTTTCATCTGGTGAAGAGGTCATGTCTAGCTGCTGAACTATATGAGTAAAAAGATCTGATAAGTGAGTGTATTTCATACTAAACTTGTGTTTGGTTGGTAAAGCAAATCATTAATGTTCTTTCTGGTTAATATTTTTGAAATATTCCTATTAGTTCAAGTAAACTTGCCCTAGCCGGTTTGGAGCATCAGCCTGCGGACTGAATGGGTCCCGAGTTTGATTCCAATCAAGGGCACATACCTTGGTGTCAGGCTCAATCCCCAGCCCTGGTCAGAACTGTGGGAGGCAACCATTCTCTCACATCGATGTTTCTCTCTCTCTGTTTCTCCCCCTCCAGTCCACTCTCTCTAAAAATCAGTGGGAAAATATCCCTGGGAGAGGATTAACAATAAATAAATAAATAAATAAATAAATAAATAAATAAATAAACGTGAATATTTTGATGTACATTTGCATTTTCTTTGTATGCAGCTCTTTAGAGGTAAAGCTTCTCTCCCCACCCAACTTAGCAACACTTCATTTTATAGATTTAAGTCAAAGACTTGTCCTTGA